GGGATGAATTTTTTTTGCGTTGGTTAGACGAAAACATGCGACGGGGAACAAACCGAAAAATTCCTCTTACTTTTTAATTAAATGAAAGTATCCTTAAAAAAACCATTGCCAATCACACTACAATTTTCTTCTGTGTGTGTTTACAAACATACAATTTCAAATACACATCACACACGAAACAGCTATAATACGTAGATCACATAGAGTGTCATGGTATTCCATATGAGAATCGAACCTGCGAGACGTGGTACGGCAGCTATTTGTCGAAGCAGAACGTCAACAGACCAGTCAACATTAGATTTGAATATTTGTCAAGATTGCAGGTAACATTCAGGTATGAATATTGACTATCGAATTTACTCAAAGCCTGTGTGTACCAAGAACTTTGAGGTCGCATTGACCACACATTTATCATGTAAATTGCAATTACTTCGCCAAAGCTAACTGCCAAAGTGCATCATGGTCCATCTGGAGACCATTTCATTTATTCAAAACTCCTTCGTGTGTAGTATCGATGCAAATATTACCTATGGCTGCTTCGATTCAGATAGCGCTTTACTTACTAAATCAGTATAAAATTAAGTCTAACTTAAATAAGATGTGCTCCAAGAGTGAAGAATGGGAGAGTCATGTTCGGTACAAATAAGCCGACTCGAACGAAGTGAGCCAATGCTACTAAAAACTGGGTTCAGACTGCTACTGCACTATGAAAACGCACTCAGACAAACAGGAATTGCGTAACCAAGTTAGTTTATGGGTAAAATTATATCGAGCACCGCTTTTCACAGGAACAACACCGACACATATTCGCGGGTCTGCAGACGGCGAGTAAGGGTACCTCGCCGCCCTACCAGAACCAGACCTGAGCGTAGCGTAGCGTTCCGCGCGCGCCTCAAAGAGCCAATAGACCACCACAGACGGGGCCCTATTGGGCTGATGTTCAGCCGGGGTTGCGGGTTAAGCGCAATGAGTTACCGCGGCCTCGGCCCAGAGCAGGAGCAGGAACGTAGGAGTTTTTAGTCAGTAAGAGTCTGACACTCTCTCTCGCCTTACCCTGGGCGGGAGAAGTCATTTGATGATTTTCCCCTGACAAAAAAAAACACCGATGCATATTGCCCCGAGACCCGTCAAAATAAGAAAATAAGCTACAAAGGCTTCATAAAATACTGGCGTGAATCAAAGCTTTCGTTATGTTTCGCCGTGTCAATGAGAATACCGGAGGCTTCTTTATTCTTCTTGCCCCCTCTCCTATCCCCAAATTCCGGATCTTCAAATTCATAATAATCCACAAACAGCTGGCAATTTCTGTTGAAACGCCGTCGCTGTGTCGTCCGTCCATAAGTAACCGCTCGTTTGGCCGCCCCATCCCATAGAAAAGGTGTTTGGTCATACTTAACACTATGAAATACTCCTCAGAACATTTTAGATTTGAGCATGATTCTGATCTTAAGGTCTTAACTGTTTATGAAAAAACTTGCTACAGTTTGCTAAGAATTATTATATTGCGGTTGATTTTGCTCAGTGAGAACCTTACAACTTACAACGGTCAGGTTGCACTCCAGAAAATTGCACTAATTATACAAGATAAATAGAGTAGAACTTCGTTCGTTAGAAACTGGTCGACCGGCAGAATGAAATATTAACTTTTTCTTTAGGAATTGTAAAATCTTTCATTACAAATGGCGGACTGAACAGGTCCGCATTTCAATTGTATTGCAGGATGCTTGAAGTTTGGCAATGTTAGGTGCTAAAACTACCAAGTAGGTATATTAAATTAGGAGGATTATTATGGAGTTTCTTACTCGTTCTTCTCCATTCGCATCTACAATTTGGAATGAGCACCTAGCTTCACTGATGAATAGACTGACAGACTACTTTTCTATTTTCACGTTTCAAAAGTTTAGTTAGAATAAATGATTTTGACTTGACTTTGACTTGACTAGGTTACCTGACCAAGATACAATTTGAAGAAAGCTTTTGTTTTTCAAGTTTTTTTAATAGTACCTATCGTGAGACATACTTAATTTATTGAAAATAACGACATCCGTAAATTACTTAACTGAGAAAAGCTCTGCTAGTTTCAAGTCACAATGGGACTCTTATTAATGCGAAGCGTGCGGCATCGTCGCCACGACACGCACAACACAGCTCAAAAGGTACCGTTGTCAAAAATTAAACCGTACTGAATTACCGCGGCCAACCTGTCTATCAAATTGAAGCCCATATTCTAAAGCTCGTGTAGTTCAAGTTCAATCAACATTTCTGAAAATTAGGTATATTCATTGAATGAAACCAGAAAGACTTTTTGACGTTCTAAAATTCTCAACCACCATAAAATTCCACCCCAAATGCGTCCCTTCAATCTCTCGACTTCCTCTACGGTGTATCTTTTCTCAAGTTTGTAATTAAAAATCTTGAAAGTCAATTAAACTTGGGGAACACTCTGGGCCCCTCGGTTCGTCTTTGGATTGAAATCGTAATGAATTTGGCAAATCAAACTTCAATATTATAAAGATAGCATTGTCTGAGCTGAGTGTTGATCTTAGCTGGTGCTTGAATGGGAATGGCTTGAACGGGACCTTTGGTAATCCTGATGCTTGTAGTAAGTTGGATGTAAGGATATGGATGCAGGGATTTTTTGGGATTTAGTCTGATGGCTACAAGAGAAGGAGATATCAGATTCATGTCCTCAGTCGAAAAAGTCTTTCCTGCTAAAAAAACAAGTTATCCGCAGAGGTTAATCAATGGCTAAATAAGAAGAAAAGAATTAAAAATCAAGCTATGATTATTAAGACACCACTGACAAACGGTGAAGGTAAACATCATGAGGAAACCTGGACTTATAATTTCCAATTATAAGTTTGAAATCGCCAACCCGCATTGAGCAAGCGTGGTGATTAACGCTCTAACCTTCTCCGTATAAGAAGAGGCCTTTGCTCAGCAGTGGGCACTTATAGGCTGATGATGATGATGATGAAGAGTTGAAGATTATTTTGTGGCCTGTTGTGTATTCTCATAGAGAAAATAGGTGGTAGGTAATTATGAAGTACCTTTAATCTTTGCGAGCATGACTGCTTCACAAAATGAGGAGACGGCGTCCCAGTTCTTCTCACTCCGCACCATGGCCTCGACTAAGGCCGGGCGCGAGAGGTCGCCGTCGCCGATCACTTCCCTGAGGATACGGCGGTGCTCAGCCCAGGCAGAGCATACCGCTACTGTACGCTCCACCGTATCCTCTAGGTGGTCCTCACAATGACGACACTCGGGCGTTTCCTCCCGCTGGATCCGAAACAGGAACCTACCGAAGCTGCCGTGCCCGGTAAGCACCTGCGTCAGACGGAAGGTGAGGACGCCGTGGCGTCTCTCAAGCCACTCCTCAAAGAGGGGTCTTACCGCTGCTATAGTAGCGGGCCCGTCCTCCGCTGGTTTTGGAGTGGTGATAACCACTTCAATAAAAATATTCTAATTTCATAATTAGAATATTTAATTAATGCAATTATTGAATTAATTAATTATAATTATATGCTGTCTAATTTCACTTATTTACTTTGGATTACACAGATACCTAATATTTATTTGTCGAGGATTGTTGTGCTACAGAGGCATTTATCAATTCAATTCTCTATTTCGAACAGTCTTGGCAGACGAACTTAACCTGTTAAAAATCTTCAAAACTACGCAACGGATTATGAGGTGCTTTTTTAATCGATAGCGTGATTGAAGAGCAAGGTTTATATTTATATTATCACCCATGTAATAGAGGATAATTTTTTATGTGAGTATTGCACCCGTTGCGAAGCCGGGGCAGACGTTATAACCGAATTTTAAGTTCCCGAATCAGGGCCTAGGCTTTTCCTTAAATACTTCGAACAATGGCCACTCTATACTAGGACACAATTATTTGTTTACAATAAGCACACCACTCAATGAAGATACTTTTAAATAAATAACAGTCGTATGTAGGCATAAAAATATGTTTATTCAACAAATCAAATTTTAATAACAAACTAAAGTTGCTATACCTACAAATTGAACTTTTTGTGAAAACATGCGCAATATCTAGTTATCCGGTACCATAACTCTCTTGTTATGCATTATTTTACCACAAAATAATATGATGGCCGTATCCTGACGTCGGCAAAATGGCAAATAACTCTTTCTTCCTACATAAGATGATAAGAGATTCGAAGGATATCATTGTAACCATTGCATCCAGGTGATGGATGTTTCTCCTATTGGTTTCAGATTTCTATTACAGTATAAATCTGGTTAGATATACAAGGATGAAGTAACGAATTTTGCGCGATTGGTTATGGCAGACTCCACTCTCAAATTCCCTGTGATTAGCCGTCTGTACTGCTCCTCCTTTACTGTTGCTGCAGGACGAAGGACTTTCTTAATTTTCGGCGAAGGATATTTTGTCACCCAAAATGGAATTCCAATACTGGTCGGCGTAGTTCTAAAAACTACGTTACAAGACTGTGCAAGATGCCCACCCCAAGCAAGATGATTCATTTTTGCTTTCAGCTCTTCAAGCGATGAGATGAAAAAATACTTTAGCATGCAACTACTGTGAGTTATAATTCTGATTGACAGCGATTGACTTCTCATTATTGTCACATTCGACATTTCATTTTAAACAAGAAACAGAACCTATTTATCTAACTCAGTAACTGCATGAAGTTTTCAATAAAAATCAGCCTGTAAACTTCCTCTGCATGTATTTAATACACTTTTTGTTGTATTTAAATCATTCCATGTACACTACGTAAAAGCCTCTTCTCTCACTAAAAAATAATAATTATTGATCACTACGCTCGCTCTTGACCATTTCAAATTTTTCAAATTAAATTAAAAACACGCAGGACAAGTAAAGTCGTGTTAAATCCAAAGAAACTAACATTAATTTCCAATTTTAATATTTTATATCACATGTATGTGCAATGGCAATCCAATTTAATGACGTTTCATTTTATTAATCTGGCAACTCCAGCTAAACCTCAAAAATTAAATGGCCGTTCTTATCGTTATCGTTGTCAAATTGTCAATGCTTTGATCTATTTACTGAAAATCTTTATTTTTATTAATATAAAAAATTGTAGTGTTAAATTGTAATTAGTTAGATATAAAAGTGTAAAATGTCTTTTACATTCGGCACTCCATCGAGTGCACCTGCAACAACAGGACTCACAGGAGGCTTTAATTTTGGCGCTAACAAGTAAGTAACCGAAATTGTGAAACTTTTTATGAAACATTTGAATTAGGAACTCTTTTCTACGCATAAAAAATTTAATTTGCGATCAAAATTGTTAGGTTTATCTATGTATACTAAAATTTAAAAAGTTATATGCTGTCATTCAGGTATAACCTCTATTCAGATCGGTTTTTTTTTCGAATTATTTCATATAATTATTATAAACGTTCTGTGTAGGCCTGCGACACCTGGGTTTGGGTTGACGGCCACGTCGCAGCCGTCGGGTCTGTTTGGGAACACGTCGTCGACTGAAACTCCAGCGTTTGGAAGTGCTGCACCAACTTTCGGTGCTACCTCCACTGCTCCGGCGTTCGGGGCCACCACAACGCCAGCATTTGGATCCACAGCGCCCCCAGCTTTTGGTTCGACAGCCACCCCTGCGTTTGGTTCTGCTGCACCATCTTTTGGTGCTACGTCTGCAGCACCTGCCTTTGGCACAACTACTCCAGCATTCGGTGCTACAACTACTCCCGCTTTTGGTAAGCCTATAATTCTATTAGTTAACACACTCCATGCCCAGTCTCTAATATGTAAAATCAAAATCTGAGAGTAACTACTTAAACCTTTAACCGGCTTCAGCAAGTTTTATGTTATTAATAAGTATATATACATTTTTAATATAGTGCATTGATCTTAAAGTCTTCCTAAGGATAAATGGGTTATTTTCTCAAGTGTCAAAAAATATTCTGTTCCTTTTCACAACAAATAAAAGCAAATTTACTTTTGTGTTTATAATATACATGACTTGAAATTTATAAAATAATAAAATAAATAAATAAAAATAAAAAATAAAAAATAAAAAAGCCTTATATTTCCCAGTTTAAAAAACAAAAAAAAATATTACATTTACAAACAAATTTTTACATTAATTTTATTAAGGAACCCCTGAGGTGAAGGCCTCCTCCAGAGACTGCCATTTTTCTCGATCTTTTGCTGTATCTAGCCAGCGTACTCCAGCCGCACGCAGGATGTCGTCCTCCCATCGTGCGTGCGGTCTTCCTCTTTTTCTTTTTCCTATCGGTCCTTTCCATGTTGTTATTAGTTTTGTCCATCTATTGTCCTGCAACCTTGCTACATGTCCTGCCCATTTCCACTTGAGTCTAAGTGCATATGAAACTGCGTCAATTGCTTTGGATTTTGATCTGATTTTTGAGTGATGAATTCTGTGTTGTTTTTTAATATTGAACATGCTGCGCTCCATTCCCCTTTGGCATGTGATAATTTTGTTTTTAACAGCAACACTATATTTCCATGTTTGACATGCATAGGTTAAGCATGGGAGCAGATTTGAATCCATTACTTTCTTTTTCAGTTCCACTGGGAGGTCGCTTTTGAATACTTCTTTTAGACTCCAGTATTTATTCCAAGTTTGTTTAACTCTCCGTTCTACCTCTAATAAATTACTTTTTTTAGCAAAAGAGATTTGCTTTCCCAAGTATATGTATTCCTTGACGTATTCAAGAGATATGTTGTTGGCATTAATAGGTATTTGTATACTGTTAGTCATAATTTTTGTTTTAGTCAAGTTCATTTCAAGACCCACTTGTATGCTTGCAAAGTGCAATGTAGTTATCATGTGTTGCAATTGGCTAGAGCATTCAGACACTATTACTATATCATCTGCAAATCTTAGGTGAGTAAAGTATTTACCTTGTATATATATGCCACAGCCATTCCAATCCAACTGTCCAAAAACGGTTTCCAACACAGAAATAAAAAGTGTAGGGGATAATGGGTCACCCTGCCTTACTCCTCTCTTTATATCTATTTGTGGACCTAAAGTTTCTAATTTCACCTTGCTAGTACATTTTTCGTAGATGTTTTTTAAAACTTCAATATATTGTCTCTCTACGTTTTGTTTTCTTAGTGCGTCCCATATACTTGAGTGTGATACTGTATCGAATGCTTTTTGATAGTCGATAAAGGCAATATACAGAGATCTCTGCTGTTCTTGGTATTTTTCTATTAGGAGCTCTAAAGTATGTATGTGGTCGACGGTGGAGAATCCTTTTCGGAAGCCAGCTTGTTCGACTGGTTGGTGAAGTTGTATGGTAGGGCTTATTCTTTTTTCAATAATTGATGAAAACAACTTGTAGAGGCTTGGTAATAGACTTATAGGCCTGTAGTTTGAAATATTTTTTGGGTCTCCTTTTTTATATATCAATATTATGTTGGAATCTGACCATTGAGAAGGTGTGGCAGCAGTATCAAGTATACGATTAAATAAAAGCGTGAGAGGGTGGCATAATACTGGCGCTCCATGTTTTAATATCTCGTTAGTTATATTGTCGGGGCCAGGGCACTTGTCTATTTTTAGGTTTTTTATGTTGGTGAGGATCTCTATTTCTTGTACAGGTTCTATTTCGGCAGTGTCACTGTTTTCTATATTTTCTAGGGTTGCCTGGTAACCATGTGGTATCGGTGTTGTTGGGGTGTTATATAGATTTTTGTAGTATTCGGTAGCTATTGTAACGATTTCGTTCCTGTTCTGCGTTATTCTCTCTAGGTTATTCAAACTGTCGATCCAATTCTTGTGAGTTTGTAGTTCCTTTCTCGCTTTTTTTATACTTCCAGAGGTTTTTAGGTGAAGAAGCAGGGTGTTTTTTTTATAGTTGAGGTAGTCATTTTTATATATTTGCTAGTAAGCTTATATAATGCTTTTAGCTCGTTTTTCATACTTCTTGTTTTGAATTGAGTTCTTTGAAGTTGCTGCCTTCTCTCGAGAAGAGATTTAGAGCGCTCTGATAATTTTGAATTTGTATGATTCCTGGTTGTTGGGGTTATATGTTGTAGACTTTTGCTAATTGCGTTTAAAATTTTATCATAGTTGCTTTGAATTGTGTCTGTGTCTTTTGTTTCTTCCGATAATTTAATGTTTTGGTAAAGATTATTCCTGAATTCCATTATTTCTTTCTCGGTTTTTAAGGTTCTACAACACCTGCTAGTGTAGTTTGCTCTACTTCGTTTTATATTGGCTAGTGTTAATGTTGATCTTACTAATCTGTGGTCAGATGGAAAATTTATGTTAAGTACTTCTAGGTTGTGAAATGAGTCGGGGTTGTTCGATAGAATAAAGTCTATTTCATTCCTATATTGTCCGTTAGGTGATTGCCATGTCCACTTGCGTCCAGGTCTTTTCTTAAAGAAAGTATTTATGATTGATAATTTATGTTGTAGGGCAAAATCGATAAGTTTTTCTCCTCTTACGTTTCGTGTACCGTATCCGTTTGTTTTCATGATTAAAAATTCATCGCTTTGAGGTTGCCCTATTTTTGCATTAAAATCACCCATGACTATGATTTTCGTATGGGCTTTTTTCATGGCTTCGTTTAGGGTTGTGTAAAACGTAGTTATATCATCCTCGCTGGCTGATTCCGTTGGTGCGTAGACTTGAATTATTGTTAATTTGTAACTGTGTATGTTCAAATTTAATATAGCTATTCTGTCCGATAGACCGATGTAACTTTCTATGTGTTGTTTCAGGTGTTTCTTAACTAAAAAGCCGATTCCGTGATACCCAGCTCGTTCACCTGTATAGCATAGTAAGAAGTCCCCATAGTCTTCTATTTGATTTCCTAGTCGTCTGATTTCCGATAATCCCAAAACATCAAACTTAACATTTTTTAGAGCTTCTGTTAATTCAATGAGTCTTTCATATGTTGATAGTGATCTGATATTGTAGGTGGCAATTAATATTTTGTTATCATTCTGTTTATTATTATGGTTTTTACTAGTATTTTGGTACTCTGGAGGGTTTTGGTCGTAATCTTCCTCGGTGACCGGCCGTGGTGGAAGATAGGTATTTGTTTTTGCTTGATTTATTTTGCTTAATTGTGTTAGTTTACGTTCAGTTTGTATTACTAATTGATTTTTATTTCCGCTGTGTTCGTTTATTTCATTGTTTTGCCGGTCCCCGAGTTCAAATTGTTATTTTTTGGTGTCGTTCGACCCAGAGGCTGTTGGACGTGATCGCATTCGATCAAAGACATTTGCTCGGCTTATTTTTTGTGCAGGTTTTAGAGTTATGTTACCATCAGTAATTTCCTGGGGACTACGTGTTGGTGATCTCTTCCTTTTTTCTTTATTTTTATTTTCATTAACCACCAGTGTGTCGTATCTTATGAACGCATAATGTCCTTTATTGCGTTCTTCTTTGAGTTTGTCTTGCAAGGAGCGTCTTATTTCAAGGACATGTTTTGGAAAATCTTCAGTAAAGTATATGTTCTCAGACTTTTTCTTATTTTTTAATATTTCGTTTCTTTTCCAATTAGTACTTATTGTAATTTTAACAGGCCTCGCTTTACCGGTTTTATGTTTTTTCCCTACACGATATGCCTTACTAATGTCTCGTACGTCGCAATCAATTCCTAAAGTTTTAATTTCTTCTGTTACCGCTTCTACGAGTTCTAAGTTAGAATTTTCTTTTTCCTCTAGACCAAAAACCATCAAGTTGTTCATTCTTTTCTCCCTTACATCCATGTCTATTTTCTTTTCGAGTTCTTCTACTCTTTTCTTCAGTTTACAATTTTCTTCCACAAGTGGTTGCAGCCTTTCTTCCATTTTCGACATCAAGCTTTCAGTAATTTCTTTAGTTTGATTTTGCATTTCAACTTTAATTTTGTCGAAAAACTTTTGAAAGTTTGCCTCCATTCTCAGTTTATAAAAAGCTCCTAGATTTTATACTTCGCAATTTAATCGGAAAAATTTGAGATTTTTTGTTGCAACACAAATTTGCGTTTGGTATCCCAGTATAGTTTATGGATATTTATCGTAATTTGTCACACTGGTTGTCAATCTGTCATTGACTACACGACATTTGACACTTAGCGTCAAACTTAAAAAAACACTAAGAAGTGGGTAGGAGTTTATTTGGGTGAAGTTTAACTTTGTTAGGAGTTTTTTGATGCACTATTTTTGTATTATTAGTCCACTATTTGCACAAATTCTCTGTTCAGTACATAGGTTGAGTCTTTATCTTCAGAATAAAACCACTTTTCACATCAATGGCTTCGAGTAGCCTAATTATTAGAATTAATTTTTCGGGAGCTAACGAGCGATATGTTTCACGAGTGACAGCCGGAACCGGAACTCTATAAAATAATATTAAAATTTATTCTAGGAGCCACAACCACTCCAGCATTCGGAGCTAGTGCAGCACCCACATTTGGCACAACTACACCTTCATTTGGTAGTACTGGGTTAGGAACGGGTGGTCTCAACTTTGGTGCTGGATCCAACACTGCAACCACTAGCTCAGGTAATGTTTCACTTCCTAGTTGTATAAACAAGCATCACAAAGTATGTTTTTATTCCCCACAAAGTGAAAAATATTATAATAAATTGAGACGGACACCATGCCACACTGTATCTCTTTTGTAATTTAAAATTTTTTCTTTGTTCTATTTATGCTTCTGTAGCAAAATTAATAGTTCAAAAGAGGTGGAATAAAACCTTCTTTTACAATTGTTGAATTAAGTCAATAATGTTATACATAAACACATTGCAAGTTAAACAGAAGGTTGGCAGATACCTATCTTCTGATTGAGCTAAAATTTGGTATAATTTATGATTATGCTATAATGATGATTTTACTCTAAATCTATTAAATGTATCTACAGCAGCATTAGGCTTGAGATGTACTGAGCCACTTAGTTTATATTAGTTTTAAAGTCCATCTCAATTAAATTTATTATTTGCTGGTTATATTATGAGATCTATATAATAAAGGACTGATCTAAAGTTATACAAATGTGTGACAAATTAACTTTTACTTGCATGAAATATACTGTTCTTAATGCTACTAACATAATTATTTAAATTTTGTATGAAACATCATCCAGTATTTTCTTCTTTTTTCTTTTTGTAACATTTCAAAGGAGTATTGAAGTCTGATTGGTACCTACTCTAATAACTAAGAATTGAAATAACTATAATTCTTTTTGGTTGATTGCAAGCACATTAATGTACCTCAGCCCCATCCTGGCGCAGAACAAGGAATGTGGTCTCCCTCTTGCACAACCAAAGGTGAGAAAGAGAAGTCATTTGACACTCATTGCTGAAGATTTCTACTTTCTTTTTGCAGGTTTATCTTTTGGGACCCCTGCAACATCTGCTAGTACAGGCCTTGGAGGTCTTGGTAGCTTTGGATTTGGTAGTACAACCTCAACACAAAGCGTTGGGTTTGGTTTCGGATCAACAAGCACTGCTACAACTACTACAAGTTTATTAGGTAAGCAAAAATTATAATCACATATGAAATAAATTTATACTGACCTAGTACTTATGGTGGTCCAGGTACATTCTAGAACTTTGTCTAATAAACAAGTGAAAAGAAGCAGCAGTCTCTAAACCTGACTAAAATCCCCAAGGTATCTGCCAAGTCTTGGGATTATAGCAATCAACACTCCCTGTAAAAAGGTGCTGTATATCAGTGATTTTTTCGATTTCTCCCAGTTTTGTTACAAGCGCCGGGATAACAGCAAGTTATAACATGTCTAAGGTTAATATGGATTTATTTTTATGAGAGGCTCGCATGCCTACATAACTAAAAAAAAACGCATTAGGGGGTTCTGTAACTAGCCGAAAAGAGGCAGTATCCTCGAAAGTTTAGATGATCAAATACAACCCCCAAGAAGGCATCATCAGCCAATGGGGATTATGGCAAAAATCCCTACTGAGGGGATTTTTTATATTATATAAAAATATGTATGGTAGGTGTATATAATACACCTAATAATATAATACACCAAATAATACACAATATATAATACACCAAATAATAATAATGTATATAATACACCTACCTGACCTACCTTCCTTCCTTTACAGTACAATGGACCCAAACCCAAGTTCCCCATTCCGTGAACCTTTCATACGGGTAACACAGACTTTTAATATGTTACCACCTACGACGTTTACTAAGCCACGCTTTGAACTGAGCCCCATTCAATGTGAACCCAGTTGTAGCTACAAGCTTCTTGGAGCTAAACGTGACTGTTATCACACTATAACGCCAAGCCCCGGTGAGGATATATTACATAAAATTTGGTAGTTTCTTAGGACAAAAATAAATTAATTCAATGTTTCAATACAATAATATATTGAAAAATAACTATACTTTTATTCATCGATCGATCGATACATTCAAGAAATAAGTAAGCCATTTGAGGCATTAATACTAGGTATGACATCATAACCCAGTTTCTCATAGAAAAGTATAGTTTTTGACATTTGGATAAAAGTATTGAATTTGAATAGTTGGAAACTACCGTATTAGTGATAAGTTAAAACAGTTTTGGTTTTCTTGTCCTCAAATAATATTCTAAGATTGTATTTCATTGTGGGATCCAAGACAGTTATTCATATCCCTCGCAGGCACTGGAATTCAATATAATACACAAGAGTTAGGCAGCTGGAACTGTTACTATTCGCCAGATATGTTTGAAGCTCCATCATAGGATGTTGCTTGGGCACTTACTTTTAAGCCTTTGTCAACCTTCATATAAAGCTCGATAAACTTACATGCCATATTTTTCATACAAATTACATGCAATATTGATATTAATCTGGCACATAGTGACTATCCAAACATTTGGAAATGGCATCCAGGCAATTGAGCCTGGCCAATACAATTAGTAGAGTAGAATATGATTGTCACATTTCTCTTGGATATCGCAGTCGTACTACTAAAGCACTAAATGTTAATCTGGTCTGATTCTTTTAAACTTGTAATCTCTAACCGGCTTGCCAAGCTTGGCGATTATGAACAACCCTCTTTTATAAAGGACATCAAAAGTCCAGCACGTAGTTCTCACGATTACTGTTTATAATTAAACAATGACACAATGAATTTATTTTTGCAAATTGGCCATAAAACTGCACTTTTACACGTCAAATTATATGAATAAAATAGATGAAGCCGGCAATGTCTATCTGACTACTCTGAGAAGAAATGCCGAAACAAACTCAGAGGTCAATTTGAAGAGAACCGTGCAAGTTCATTCTGTAGTGGTATTTTGAGGAAAGAACCACACCAGTTTAACGTGACATTTTTTCCTAGCCCTTCCTAGCCCTTTATCCGCCATCCGTTTACTTTCAGAAGGATAGAATATTCAACATAATAATTTAAACTAATTCTGTTTGATATGAGTCTCTAAAACTGAAATCAATCACCAAAGGGTATGCAATGCAACATCTTCAAATTTTTATTTACGCTAACTACAATCCCCAGCATTTTCGCCAAACATGGGGATTATGGTAAACTTGTTTATAAAGAGGCATTTGTTCACTGATGCACATTTTTACACTGATGATATTGGATTTTCAGGGTATTTTTATTTTGTTCTTGATATTTTGTAATCTTTGTTTAATGTGTTCCAGGTTCTAAATTGGGCACAACCAGTGTGACTGGTACACAGCCATCTATTTCAGGTAAGAAGTACTTTAATTATTACATATATCTCTTCTCTCCCATTAGTTTGTCTGTTTGCAATAATCTTAATAACTGATAAACCGGACCGATGATTCTTGTGGCCAATGTATCATTTTCTTAATTAAGTCTTTTAATTTTTTTTCCTGTATGTACCTATAAGACAGTTAAGCTCGAAAGAAATAGTTCAATAGTCCTACTACACATAAACTGGACCCTTGTCCATAGAAATTTTATTCATATTATCTTATTTGGTTTGCTAGCAACACCAAGTTTCGGGCTTGGCGGTGTTGCCACCAGCAGTAGTGGCATTGGCGCTACAAATACAACGGCTGATTCTAAAAGTAAGTATTTTTTACAGTGCTTAATAAAACAACACGCTTTATAATCCTTAAAGGCTAGGCAGAGATGCAGTACTTTACAACAAATCACTCACTTGTGCAGTTACATGCTCATAGTCAAAATCAATACTTTTGTATCATAGTGATAAGTTTCTATGAATTTTGAATGAGTTTACTATATTGTAAGTCCATTACATATAATACTTATTCATTCAAGAACACCTTGGATTTCCAAGGTGCTTTAAAATAAATATATATTGTATAAAGTATGAGACATAAATAAATAAGTATCATCAAATTGATCTAAAAGTGTATAGTTATTTCTTGATACTCTATTAAATAACTGTGTTATCATTCCAATTTTCTCCTCTGTTGACCTTTGAGAACCACAGGATTGTAGCTTTGACCGCTGAATAAATCTATAAAATTTTGAATGCAGGAGAGTAAATACAATCAGGTCGAGCTTTCCAATTGCTTCGGTGCGAATTGGAAAGCTCGACCTGAATGGTATAATGACTTCACAGAAAAGCAGCCTGATTTAACACATGCATTGAGTTTGGCCGTGAAAGATGAAACGTGGGAATGGTAACGGGAGATCCAATTTACTATGATATACTACAATAATTTGTCTTGTGTACACACTTTAACACTACACATTTAATTTCATTATCATGTATTTAAATTTTTTTAAAGTAGCCATAACACATGTCTTTGATAGATCTCCAATATAAATTTTTAACTTGGCAATAACCATTTTTTTATTATTTGTCACAGGTGAACCACCAAAGCAGAATAAATTGCCAAATGAAATCTTAACAACAGTGGAGTCGTTCAAAGAATTTGTAAAGAAACAAAAGTCATTGAGTTCTGAAGTAATGAGGGTGTCTGTCAAACCATTGCATAAGGTATGTGTAACAATGATATTATAAAATAAAAAAGTAGAATGGTATAGACAACATTCGATTTTCAAAAACGGCACACTAATGCACACATGAATAAATCGTATGATACGTACACGTTAAAGTGGGATGGCATGATTCAATAATCGCGAGTGAAAAAGAGACAGATATGAATAAGTGTGGCTAGTTAACCACATTTTAATGTATCACTTGCTGAGCGCTTGTAACCTATCTACACCTTTTTTCTTATAATATCATTGATGTGTAATATAATTATGTTCATATAAGAGGCAGTGGAGAAAGATCAAGTGTTTCTTTGACGACGACGAAATATTTTTTATACGTATCTCCTTTATACCTCAGAAGCCAGAACCAGTTTAATTTAAATATAGAAGATTAATAAAAATATCTGCAACAAAATCTGTTGTTCAGTTTTAAAGATTTAAGCATACATATATCGATTGCACGGTTGGCGTGGTGGCTGCCGCGCAATGTGTCGCAAGGAACAACTCTTTGTGTGATCTACATATTGTTTTGTTCCGGCTTTGGGTGTGATGTGTATATGTAACTATGTTTGTAAACGCATCCACAACACAGGAAAAAACAGAGAGATTTTCTTTTATATCTTATCTTTATATATTATCGTTGTAATGTTATACCTCAATAATGTTTTTATCGAATTGGCTAATTTTCTGGTCTTGAATTATTCATGGAAGTCCAGAGAAGGTTTGTATGTAGAGATTTAAAAACAAATTAAATGAAAAAGTTAAAATCAACATCCACGTTTGCGATCTCTGGTACTATATAGTGTTATAGTGGTCATGTATGAAGGCTTTGGAGCAGGTTCTTAAAGTGTGTGTGTGTACTGACGCAGGTGTCCCGCGAGGCGGAGTGCCGCCTGCGCGCGGCGCTGTCGCTGTCGGGCGAGGTGTGCCGCGCGCGGGCCCAGTCCCGCCGACTGCGGGCCGCCGCCGCCGCCGCGCTCGCCGCCGCCGAGACCGCCGCCAGGGACTACACGCTACCTGGTATGCGATACACATCATCATCTGCCTATAAGTGCCCCCTGCTAAGCAAAGGCCTCTTCCCAAACGGAGAAGGTTTGAGCATTAATCACCACGCTTGCTCAATGCGGGTTGGCGATTTCAAACTTATAATTAGAAATTATAAATCCAGGTTTCCTCACGATGTTTACCTTCACCGTATGTCAGTGGTGATAGAAATATATATAAAGTGTTAGAAAGTATATATAACTCGGAAAACTCACATTGGTACTTGCCAGGTTTTGAACCTTCACCCTCATGCATGAGAAGCGGGCGTCTTAACCTCCGACATACACGCACTACGTTTAACAGAAATCACAATGTCTCACGTGGATCTGCGTTCCTTGTGATACCTCGGTTTAAACTACAATATATCATAAACGATTAAGTTAATAAACATTAATACATAGCAATCAAAACAATTTTCTTTGTGTGTATTTTATATGTCTGTTTACGACTTTTAAAAAAATAAACAGTAGAAAAAATATAAAGTTTGTTGTATAACATTAATTTGTGATAGAGGTATGTCCAATTTGACACAGACCTATGTAAATTCCATGCATAGACTTTTCATATTATAACTATGACATAAAACATTTCTTATTATATTTTTGTCTATAAACGATTTCGCATATTGATTTAATATTATACGCACAGTAATTTTGGGTACATATTGGTGGAGTAACAAGTGCAACAAACAAGCAAAGGACTTCGTTTTAAATCTTAGGTCAACTAAATAATTATTGAGTTATAGCACTAAAACTTTGCAATAGACTCACCTCCTATCATGAGGGACTCAAAACAAAACTGCAGACGATAGAGTCTACTTTGTGTTTATGACCCTTCGCCGATAAAAGGCGTCAAGATATGAAAATATTATGTATAAATATGTGTTTTTTTATATTTGAAATTCTCTGTAATAGGCTCAGAGCTGGAAGGCACAGCACCACCAGCATACGTGAAGGATTTGATAGCAGAATTGGAACAACAGCTGATCACATTCCGAAGACAAATGGACGTGGCAGACAAACAGATGCAGTCATCTCCTAAACTACTCACTGAACAGGGTAAGTTTTGTAACAATAACAAAAAGATAATATTAGAATAGAAACTTTTTCTTTTCGCAATGGGCAAACATTTGGCCGCTATCACGCCTGGTATTAAACGATAATGCGACCTAAGATGGAGCATAGGCAACCTATTCACTATAACTATCGTGACACATACTAGACTTAGGGCTGATTTTTCAATAGTCAGATGAAAGTTATCGCAAGAATAAAATTGTTGCTGTCACTGTCTTATACAAACATTCTGTCGCGACAGCATCATCATTATTCCCCAGGTAACTTTTATCTAACCATTGAAAATCAGACCTTATTGAAAATAACGACTTATTGCTTGTGGCTGCGCAACGTCGCCGCACCGCGCTCGCGGCTCACGAATAACAGTCCCGTTGTGAGTTGAAACTAGTAGAGCATATCTCTGTTAATTCTCGTGAATAAGTTGTAAGTTGTTCATTGCATTCTTTAGAGACAATAAATATTTGTTAATATTTTACGTTAACAATACATAAAGGATTTGTTAAAATGTTGGCACTACAGATCGATTTTAGACCTGAGAATAATACATAAGCTACTTTTCTCCATGGGTGAAGTCGCTGGCAGATACTATTTTTATATTAAACCAACGACCCGCCGCGGCTTCGCTCGAGTACAATACTAATACAAAATTTCTCAACAATGTAATGAATGTATAATGGTACATATAAACATTACTCTTTAATTACCTTGTGTGCCTCCGGCTGTGTTTTTTTTGTAAAATATAATTTTGTAAAATATAATTACACTATTTATAAACCTAATCAAAATCCGTTGCTTAAAGATTTAGGAATACATAGGGATATATGGTTTTTCGAAAGCGACTTTGTTTTGTACTATGTACTGATATGTGATCTGTTTTCAGAGCTAACTATGGGCATAAGAAGAATGCACGAATCTCTGGTAGCCTTAGCTGGTCGCCTACAAGCCGTGCATACTCAAGTAGAAGCGCAAAAAGAACAATATCTTAACTTACGGAAGTACATACTCAAGGATCCTACAAATGTCTTTGATGAGCCATCACGTAAGTAAATTAATATGCCTATTAAATACTTAAAGTACCCCATCTTACATGTCCTTAAATGTCAAACAGTAAGTGAGGGACAGCATACTCTAGAATTTCGATGACATCTGTAATCCCCAAGTCGACTGCCAAGCTTGAAATACGTCAAAATTTGATGAGGCTGGCATTTCCTATCTGGCTACTCTGAGAAGAAATGCCGGAACAAACTCGGAGGCCCGCCTCTTTATCCAAAATTATTATAATGTGTGAGATAGCAAGCTTACACATTATGAGAATCCAAGCAATTGTTCAGCAATAGACTTATGACTTTACATTACATGCGGACCTAGATTTTCTTTCTGTGTTCCTTCTAAGATCTTTGGTTTCGAAGTATCAATAATTTAAATTGCTGATTACAGCCTTAATTGATTTATATTTGAAATTCGTTACTGGAAAAGAAAGATTTTGTAATTTAATAACTATGCTCTAAAAATAAATAAAAACTTACAATATAATAATGTTGTTTGCAGCCAGCACAAGTTTGGATCAGATCCTCAGAGATGCGGAGACCAACAGGAAGAAGATGAAGTCTGGCGCGTTGCCTGACATCACATATGGTAGCGCTGTGCTCTCAGACCCCAGGGTCGCTTTAGGTCAGTCTCTCCCATACACTTTTACGCAGGAAGATCACAGCATTGACTGCACAGTTGACGCGGTGCTTAGATAACCGGCTGGCCGGCTAATAACTCTTTGTGTGATCCGCCAACTGTTGTTGGCGTTGACGACAAAAGAGAAAATCCTAGAGTAGGCTTTAATTAATATATATTTTTAGTCAAAACCATTTAAAATCTCGAGTCGAGTGTAGCTTTATGCTACGGGGTCTGACGAGATCTAATTTCATCCTTCCTATGGTTTTTACCAACATTACACATGAAATTGACCTTTAGAAAAATTGGGTAGTTTCCTAGATCAAAAATTTATTATTTCGACAATTCAGTACAATGAATTATTAAAACCATAATCATATTTTCACTCATAGAATTGATTTACTCATTGAATATGGTATTTTGCAACTAGTCAAATTCAATACTTTTATACAAATGTTCAAAACTTTTCTATTAAATTTGTATGAAACACTGAGTTATGACGTCATAGTATTTTTGCGTCAAATAGCTTACTTATTTCTTAAAAATTTGCTAAAAGATATAAAATTTAGTGTATCGATCGATCGATCGTTCGTTTTAAAGATTTAGGCATACATAGGGATATGAGGACAGAGAAAGCGACTCTGTGTGGTGGTGTCTTTGTATCTATAAAGATACTAAATATATATTTTCTTTTTTCTGATGGTAATCAATCAGCGCTGCCCATGGACACCCGCAACACCAAAATTATGAGTGCCGGCCTTTTAGGGATAAGTGTTTAATATATTAAAGGATTGGGAAGAGATGGGGGTGGCGGGAAGGTGGAGGGATTAGGCCTCCGGTAACCTCACACCGGTTTTATGTGAGGCCGTGGTATCACTCCGGTCGAGCCGACTCATTCGTGCCGAATCCTGGCTCTCACACACTTTTCAACCTTTAAAGATGTAAATTACATACAGATGTTCTAATTATACTAATTACGCAGGTAATTTGCAAAATTTGGCCGGTCCAACACCATTTTCTTACGTCGGGAGCTCAATGTCGCCTTTTCCCTCGATCGACGCTAGCGGTAAGTTTTTCTTAGTACAATATAATATCAATTCCTTGCAATCTGAATTTGTTGTATATCTTTCCTGTATAGGCTTAAATGACGTATGTATGAACAGATTGCGCATTTAATATGTATAACACACTTATATTTTTAGTTTTTTTGAAGAAATCGGCTTTGTAACTACTAAATCGATTTTAAATTTCAAGTTATCAAGGAAAAATAAGCATAATAAGCAAACCCTATATTTCAAGAAACCAAAATAATAATATTTTCAATGTTGCTAAAATGACATTTTATTCTCAGGTCCCTCATGGCAGCCCCAATCACAGCCGACCCTTAACTCGTCTTTGAACACCAGCTTCGGTATCGCACAAGCTGACACTTCGACAGGATTCCAGCTTCAGAAACCACCCGGCAAGCGAGGAAAGCAATGATATTGGCGCTAAGCACGATTTACCGTGCTACACAATAATGCTCAATCAATGAGCACATCTAGTAATACTGTTTCGTTATTATAATCTTTTGCCAGTATCGTCGTTTATATTGCAATTAGTTATATGTCGAAAACTACAAGTTTACAGGACTTTTCGCCGTGTGAGTTGTGACCGGAGGCCCAATCCTTCCCCTCCCCCAATCCCTAAATCTCCTAATCCCCGTAAGGTCGGCAACGTACTCGAAACTCCTCTGTTGCGGGTGTCCATGGGCGGCGCTGATTGCTTACCATCAGGTAATCAGTCTGCTCGTTTGCCACAAACATTTTTCGGACGCGTTCCATTAAACCGTATCTAAGTAACATAAACATTTTTTTTTACATTAAACATATTGCAATTTGAACGATGATATTCACTTTTGTATTGCTTTGAATAACTTAAGAAATTGGGCTTATAAGGACAATTTGAATAGGCCGTTTCGAACTAAGTGGTAAGAATGCGCTCGCATTCGCTCTCCTATATATGAAGCGTAGATGCAAGAATTTGCGAGAATGCGCGCGTATTTTTAAATCTTAGGTTCAATTTTTACTATTATTAATTTTATTATAGCCTTGATGCTTATATAACTAGGTTATATGAATGTCATTAAAGTAAAAAAATTTAAAGATTATGTGAAGTAGCACTCTATTGTTTCTACACCAACCAGAATACCTAAAGCAACGCGCTTATGACATCCGGCGCTTTGATTGGCAAGCTCCAAGTCCAACCAATGAGAGTGCCAAATGCGTAAAGCAAACTATGGACTATCGGTTTAGGTTATTAGGGGCTGATTTTTCAATAGTTAGATAAAAGTTACCTGGGGACTAATTTTGATGCTGTCGCGTCGGAATGTTTTATAAGTCAAAGTAAAAATCATTTAGTCCAACTAAACCATAAATAGGTACTTTTGAAACGTCAAAATAGAAAAGTAGTCTGTCAGTCTGTTCGTCAGTGAAGCTAGGTGCTCATTCCAAATTGTAGATTCGAATGGAGAACGAGCAAGAAACTCTATTCGTTACTCTTTAAAAAAATTGTTTTACAATTTCAATAATATAACATGTATAGTATACATTAGTGTACCCTTATGTGAGAACAATGCAGAGACAAGTTGTTAAAAAAAAGAACCTATCATAAAATTTTACTCCTTTGTCGTCTCGAACATGGCGCTCACATATGCGTACTCACAATCTTTAAGAGTGCTTCTAAGACTGTGACAGTAACAATTTTATTGCTCAGATAACATTTATCTGACTATTGAAAAAGCAGCCCAAAGTTAACAATCTTGGTATGTCTTGTCCAGTTGAATATTCAACCAAATTGGTTAATCTTTTGCGTGAAGAAACAAACGTACATCTATGCATTATCACAAACCTCACCTTTGTAATATTAGTAGGACAATAAAATTTCTTCATTATTTAACTTAATAAGTAACTAGTTATTAAGCTAATAACTATACTATCGCGTGGATTGAATGCTGGGATCGGCTCAAATTTGGAGTTCAACCCGACTAGAAAATATAATAATTAATACATTTTAGAAAAGTGCACCTACTGCGTGTTTACTATTTGCTGCTCCGTTTGGCACAGTAGCTGCTCTAACGGCTGTTAAGCTATGAATTACGGGTTCAATTTCCGTGTTTCTAGGCTAGTTTAAATTGTATGTGAATTTTGTATTTGTCATTGATAGTATAGGCAATCCTAATGTAAAGTTTTAAAAAACTTCGAATTTCACACTGTTACATACCTATGTAATGTATATAATGTATAAATGCGTAAAAAATAATGTCATCAAATGTATCAATTTTATGTTACTAAACCCATTCGAGCGGTGTTGATAGTATTTTGTAGAACAATGAATGTCAAACATTTCTGAGTTGGTTCCAAAGAACTTCAGATCCATTATGTATCATTATAAAAGTTATTTTTGTAATACAATAATGTTTTGTTTGTCAAAACAAAAGTTTAGAATGCAATAAAATATATACATTAATTACCTGTCGCTTTATTTCTACAATACCTTTTTTGATTTCTCCGCCCAAATTAAGGCTAGAGAGTCTTAGACTCTTCCTGACTAAAATCCCCCGTTCCTTCTGCTCTGGGCCGAGGTCGCGGTGAGACTCGCGCTTACGGTGGCCGGAGATCATCTCTCGATCCCCGACGCCCGTAGTCGGCACTCTCTTACTGCGGCAGCTGGGGCGTGAGGAGAATAGTTCCCTCACGCGCTCCGCCTCCCTTTTTGTGAGTATCACTACTTCGCAGAAAGAGAAGCCGGTTTCCCAGTTCCTCTCGCTAACAATCCCTTTTTAATTAATAGCACCTGAGACAGAGAGTATACACGACTGTATAAGGATACTTTATTATTTAATTATTTAGTTTACAACTTAGGCTCAGGGGCCGGAGTCGTGGTCGTGGTTGTAGTCGTGGCTGCAGTTGTAATCGTACTCGAAGCTTCTGTCGTAGTCATATTAGCTGTTTTGGTGTCATCAGGAACGATTCTGTTGCCGGTTTCAGTGGTAGCTCTTATCGGCTTAGTTTTATTCATAGGTTTCCACGGACTGCATGGAAAATAAAATAAAAATATTAATTTGGATAATATATAGTTTATACAAAGTTCTAATTGCCTAACGGAGTGATTGCAATTGTTCTCGGGCAGATTTTATCGATTTTTCAAATAAAAGTTACTCGAATTCGAGGACTAAAATTGTGGCTAAGGCGACATAACATCCATAACTATAGGTTCTTACTAGAAATCTTATAAATAAAAATGAAATTCTGTTCGTTAGTCTCGCTGAACCTCGAGAATGGCTGGTCCAATTTGGCTAAATTTAGTCTTGAAATATTACTGGAAGTTCAGGGAAACTATTATTAACTACTTAAGTTAATTTTGAGGCGGAAAGAAATTTGCCGTGTTAGCTAGTTAGGGACTTATACTATCATTGATATTGTTCCACCACTTACATGATGTACGGTGTCGTTGGTGGCATCTGCCTTGCAGCACGAGCTCGAGCTTCCAAAATTTCTCTGTAAAAATATCACTTTTAACTAAATAATTCTGTAACTTTTTTTAATGTGCCTATAACGAAACACTCAGTAGATTCCGCCTATAAGTGTCCACTGCTGAGCAGTCTCTTCTTATACGTAGAAGGTTTGAGCATTAATCACCACGCTTGCTCAAGGCGGGTTGGCGATTTCAAACTTATATTGTCTGTACCAAAATCACAAAATATGGTTCAGGTAGTTTAGGCGTGAAGAAAAGACAGACAGACGGGGTTACTTTCGCATTTATAATATTTATGTAGTTTGGATTATAGGTAAGTCCAGGTTTCTTCACAATATTGTCCTTATATTCCTCCAAAATAATCATAGAAAGTAAGTACCTACTTATAACAATCCGGAACCCGGGTACGTCCTAAAACTGCGACCAGACCGAGGAATGGGAAGCAGCATTCTTTAAAAAGTTATCGGTGACCTAACTGCGCTCGCCAACCCGCCTGCCAAGCGTGGCGAGTATTGGCAAATCCCCCCATATGGACTACTCAGATAAAACCAGGCCCCCAGTCTCCGGCAGTCCCGCCGTTCCTGGCTACAGTGGTAGCGGTCAGGGTAACGGCGGGACACGGGGTGCTAAGAATCCCCGGAGGTGGAGAAAAGGCTACCACCCCCGACGACGACTGGCCCTGGTAACACACAATGTTCGCACTTTGAGGACAGACGAGATTATTGGGCTGGAAGAGGCATTGGGTAGGTTGCACTGGAGTATTGTGGGGTTGTCAGAAGTCCGACGAGAGGGCGAGGACACGATAACCTTAAGATCCGGCAACCTATTCTACTACCGGGAGGGCGAACAACTGTCCCAAGGCGGTGTCGGGTTCCTCGTCCACAGGTCCCTCGTCAACAACATTCTTACCATCGAAAGTGTGTCGGGCAGGGTGGCGTACCTGATACTCAGGGTTTCCAATAGATACTCGTTGAAGGTTATCCAGGTTCATGCACCGACCTCGACACACCCAGACGAGGAAGTAGAGGTTATGTATGAGGACATAAGTAGGGCCATACATACTAATAAAACCTACTTCAATGTTGTTATGGGGGACTTCAACGCGAAACTGGGAACTCGAGGCGATAACGAGCTAAGAGTGGGGCAATTCGGGTATGGGCAACGGAACCACAGGAGACAGAGACTGGCTGAGTTCCTGGACAAGGAGGACCTCTTTGCGATGAACTCCTTTTTCCAGGAGCCGTCTCACAGGAAATGGACCTGGATGAGCCCGGACTGTTCCACAAAAAATGAGATCGACTTCATCATGACCACAAAGCGACAGATGTTCAATGATGTCTCTGTGATCCATAAAGTAAAAACCGGCAGCGATCACCGACTGGTCAGAGGCACATTGAATATCAATGTAAAGTTGGAAAGATCCCGTCTGATGAAGTCTACGCTCCGACCTTCAAATGCACATATCGGTTGTCCCGAGAGCTTTCAGATCGAGCTATCGAATCGTTTTGGGTCCCTGGAGAATTCCGAGTCAGTTTTTTAGACCCCGCCGGAAAGACAGACCGCAGAAGCTTACCGATGACACCCTCAAACTCATGGCAGAACGACGTGCTATGGTACTCCAGACCTCTGCCGATGCTAAAGCACATCGGCAGCGTCCATGCGACACGATATCCGTAACTTTAACGCCAATAGGGTTAAAAAAGCGATAGAGCGGAACCAAGGCTCCAAAGTGTTCGCTAGGGACATGTCTATTAGGCAAACACAGCTGACGAAGCTGAAGGCGGAGGATGGCAGTGTGGCGTCGACGAAGGCCGAAGTTTTGGGTGAGATCGAGAGGTTTTATGGGCAGCTATACACATCGGTCACTAAACCTGTTAGCTCAGTCGGTGATCCAAGAGCTAAACTCACCCGACACTATACCGAGGATATCCCGGACATCAGCCTATACGAGATTAGGATGGCCCTCAAGCAGCTCAAGAACAACAAGGCGCCGGGCGAGGACGGAATCACATCAGAGCTTCTGAAAGCGGGCGGAACGCCGGAACTGAGAGTCCTTCAGAAGCTCTACAACTCCGTCATATTCGAAGGAGCAACGCCGGCGGCATGGAGCAGAAGTGTGGTGGTACTATTCTTCAAGAAGGGAGATAACACTCTACTGAAAAATTATAGACCCATCTCACTTCTGAGCCATGTCTACAAGCTATTCTCGAGGGTCATCACAAATCGTCTCACACGTAGGTTCGATGACTTCCAGCCTCCCGAACAAACCGGTTTCCGGAAAGGCTATAGACCACATCCATACGCTGCGGCAAGTTATACAGAAGACCGAGGAGTATAACTTGCCACTATGCTTGGCGTTTGTGGACTATGAGAAGGCCTTTGATTCGATCGAGACTTGGGCTGTGTTAAGATCTCTCCAGCGGTGCCATATTGACTTTCGGTACATCGAGGTTTTGAATTGCTTGTACACAAACGCCACTATGTCGGTCCAAGTACAGAACCAGAGCACGAAGAATATTCCTCTACAGCGAGGTGTAAGGCAAGGAGACGTCATATCTCCGAAACTGTTTACCGCTGCATTGGAAGACGCCTTCAAGCTCTTAGAATGAAAAGGATCTGGCATCAACAACAACGGCGAGTACATCACTCACCTCCGGTTTGCCGACGACATTGTAGTCATGGCAGAATCGCTGGGATCTGAGCACAATGCTCGATGACCTCTGTAGAGTTTCTCAACAGGTAGGGCTCCGAATGAACATGGACAAGACGAAAGTAATGGCAAACGCCCATGTCACGCCCTATCCGATATCAGTTGGGAGCTCTAACCTCGAACGATAACAATATAACTTCGAAAAAGTCACATTGGTCCTTGCCAGGTTTCGAACCCATGCATGAGAAGCAGGCGCCTTTACCTAATATTAATTACATACTATAGTTTAAATAAATGTATGAAATCAATTAGCTATTGGCACACGACACTTTTGTCCATGGGCGGCGCCGATCGTTTACCATCAGGTGATCCGTCTGCTCGTTTGCTTCCTATTCCATAAAAAAAACTTTGATTTGTTCTCTTTTACGGCCTGTGTACTCTTTTATGTCTCCAATAACTACAGCGAAATTCAAATTCAAATCAGCGTTATTTCACGTTCCGAGCGCGAAAGAGCCAATGACCACCTCAGACAGGACGGTACAGGGCTGATGTTCAGCCAGGGTTGCGGGGTAAGCGCAATGGGGCACCGCGTACTCGGCCTAAAGCAGAAGGAACACGGAGGGTTTTATGCTAATGCGCCGTCATAGTACGAGAACGCCAAGTCGATAAACAAATTAAAAGGGGTTCAACCTCAGAAGTTGCACAGTGATGCGGGAGCTTGGTAAACGAGCCTCGACGGGGTTGGTGATCACCACTACCATTTGATCTTCTGGGAGCGGCTGTGGTTTGGGGTCAGCCTCATCTTCACCCGAATACTCAATATCATAGTAAATATTGTTGCCTGACTGCAAAACACATTTATTTATTTATTTATCAAATCACAATACCTACCAGGGCAATACTAATAAGTATCCTATCTACATATGTGTTATTGCTGATAATATAACAGGTACCTATACGTGCCAGTTTCATGCACATCCTTTCACTAATATTAACTGGAAATTGTAACAAACATTTTATAGGTACTTAGGATTTTCAGTATCTGTCCCGATCAAAACTAAGCAGTCTTTATGGGATTTGAAAACGTGACTGGCGCACATAAATATTTATAAGTACTTATTTAAGATATGCACTAAGTATACGTCTGTATAGTTACATATTTAAAACTAGCGTCCGCCCGCGACTTCGCCCGCGTGTTATGTTGATAAAACAGCCTATGTTTCAACCAAGTTGGTCTAGCCGTTTTTGCGTTTATTAATAACAAACACAAACTTTCACTTTCTAATATTAGAGGGATTTATAATATAGTAGAATTGTAGCAAGAAGTCTTCTTTTGCGTAATTCTGTCTGCATACAGCTAGAATAAGTATTATGACGTTCCTACGGGATTTATATTTCAACCAATCGAATGAAAAAATATGTAACATTTTTAATAATAAAATATCATATTAATAATTTTTTGTACTGACATATTATTTTGTATTTTTGGTGATTTGGTAATCAATTGTATAATTATTCTGCACATGTAATTGACGTTTCATTGGTATACATACAATGAACCCTGAAAATGATAAATTTTGCATGCCATCTGTATTATGGCGAAGTGTGAAGTTCCACTGTTTAGCTCTAAGATCTTTCTGTACCATGCTTCCTGCAAATAAATGAATTCTATTCTATTCTATTCTATTCTATTCTATTCATACCTGCAATCCAGGGAATCGTTGCACACTTTCCTTTATTGACATCATAATCCGTCGCGTGGGTTGTAGCATGCGTCTCAAAGCTCTGTGGGTAGGTTTGGCCGCTTCACTAGACTTCAACAGAAACATAAGTCTCGCTACTGACTCAAAATTCCATTTATTTGAGTCTACGAATCCCTCCGGTTTAGTTATGAGGGTAGCTAAAAGTACAATAAAGAAAAAATATATTAAAGTAGATAATAATTACTTAATATATTCCTTACAATACGATTTCTTAAGGAAGGAAAGTAAGTTGCATCTTGCCGCCCTCAAAGAGCCAATAGACCACCAAAAACGGGGCCTAACAGGGTCGAATTTCAACCGGGTTTATAGGGCAAACGCAATAAGGTACCGCTGCCTCACCCTGGAGTAGGAGAATTAAGGAACGGGTTAGTCAGTAAGATTCTGACCACTCCCTCTCGCCATGCCCAAGACAAGAGAAGATCGTACCGGCCCATTGTGCTGCTCGACGAGGTGGGAAAACTGTTCGAGAGGATAATATCAGACCGCCTCGTCGGGCACCTGTCTGGAAGGGGGCCGGATTTAGCGGACGGCCAGTTCGACTTCCGCAGAGGGCGCTCCACGGTGGACGCCATCATGCACGTGAGGGACCTCACGACGGGGACTGCGTTGGCCAGGGGGCGAGTCGTCTTCGCCTTCAATTCGTTGCCCTGGAGCTGCATTCTGGAGGCACTCCGGTATCACCGGGTGCCTGCCTATCTCCGTCGTGTAGTCGAAGCTTACTTGACGGACAGATGCGTCATCTACCCCGGTCACCGGGGCGTGTGGAATCGGCGAGAGGTGTCCCACAGGGATCGGTCCTGGGACCTCTCCTGCGAAACATCGGGTACGATTGGGTGCTACGCACCGACCTCCCGAGCGGCGTCAGCATTGTCTGTTATGCTGACGACACGCTGGTGCTGGCGAACGGGAGGTCGCATCAGGCGGCGGCCGACCTGATGTCACAAGCGGTTGCAACAGTCGTTGCAAGGATCCGGCAGCTGGGACTCGAGGTGGCGCTCCACAAGTCCGAGGCCAGTGTTTCTATGGCCGTCGGAACGCGCCACCTCCAGGTGGGTCCCAAATAACGGCAGGAGGAGTTACTATCGGCGTCGAGTCGACGATGAAGTACCTGGGTCTCGTCCTCGACAGCCGATGGAACTTCACGGAGCATTTTCGTCGTTTGGCCCCTAAGTTAGAACGGTCTGGGGCCGCGCTCAAGCGGCTCGTTCCCAACCTCGGGGGGCCAAACGCCTCCTGCCGGAGGTTGTATATGGGGATTGTGCGATCCATGGCCCTCTACGGTGCCCCTGTGTGGGCGCCGGACTTGAAGCGGCGGCCGGCTCGTACGCTGGTCGCGTCTCAGAGGGTCATGGCCATCCGAATAATCCGCGGATATCGCACGATCTCCGGGGAGGCGGCGAACCTCCTTGCCGGATCACCGCCGTGGGATCTAGAAGCGAAGGCGCTCGCGCGCGTCTACAGTTTGCGCACAGACGCGCGTCGCCGGGGCGAAGATCCTCTGCGACGCCAAATTAGTGCGTGGCGGAATGAGCTCCGGCGAGATCTCATGGCAGAGTGGAAACAACGACTGTCGCAACCGAGGGCCGGGCACGTTACCATAGCAGCGGTAAGACCCCTTTTTGAGGAGTGGCTTGAGAGACGCCACGGCGTCCTCACCTTCCGTCTGACGCAGGTGCTTACCGGGCACGGCAGGAAACGCCCGAGTGTCGTCATTGCGAGGACCACCTAGAGGATACGGTGGAGCATACGGTAGCGGTATGCCCTGCCTGGGCTGAGCACCGCCGTATCCTCAGGGAAGTGATCGGCGGCGGCGACCTCTCGCGCCCGGCCTTAGTCGAGGCCATGGTGCGGAGTGAGAGGAACTGGGACGCCGTCTCCTTCTTTTGTGCTCGCAAAGAGAGAGGCGGCCCGCGTGAGGGAGCAATCCTCCTCCTCACGCCCCAGTAGCCGCAACTGGCGACACTACGGGCGTCGGGGATCAATGGACGATCTCCAGCCACCGTAAGCACGGGCCTGCGTTCGGCGAGTAAGGGCTGCTCGCCGCCCGACCAGAACCAGGCCCGAGCGTGCGGCGCGTAGCGTTCCGCGCGCGCCTCAAAGAGCCATTAGACCACCACAGACGGGGCCCTAAAGGGCTGATGTTCAGCCGGGGTTGCGGGGTAAGTGCAATGAGGCACCGCGACCTCGGCATAGAGCAGGAGAAGGAACAGGGGGGTTTTTAGTCAGTAAGAGTCTGACACTCCCTCCTGCCCGGCCCTGGGCGGGAGAAGTCATTTGATGATTTTCCACTCACAAAAAAAAAGGCGAGAGAAGATATTTGATGATTTTCCCCACTTGAAAAGAAACTATGATGTCTCGTGACTCGTGGTTGTGATTGCAAACATACAATTTCACATAGATTTGAAGAAGATTTCATGGAGGTATGGAGGTACACCGTATATAACAGAAAGAATCTCGAACTCCACTAATCCAACTCTTGATTTGAAAACAAGCCTAACTAAATATTTTGGCATACACAATCACATCACACCTAGACTCGGAACAACAATTTCTGGATCCCACAAAGTGTTATTACGTGCGAGAATCGAGCTTACAACACGTAGCTCAACAGCAAGTTGCCTAGCCATGCGTGCAGTCAGTAGAAATGTTTCGATATGTAAATACTTATTACATCGTGCGACAGATCGGTAATCCACCAGTCCTTTAAGAAATGTATAAAACAAACGAGCATACTGATACCTGATGCCAAGCAATTGGCGTCCATGAACGTCCGCAAAACCAAAAGAGTTACGAGTGCGTTTATTTTGGGGATAAGGACTTTTAATACGGATATTTAAGGATTGGGATGGGATGGGATGGGGGCAGAGGAATGGTTGGGCCTCTGGTAACCTCACTCACACGGCGAAACACAACGCTGTGGTTGTTTTATGCCGGATTTCTATAAGGCATTGGTATTCTTCTTTATGTAATAAGTACCTATTTTATTTTAATTCGATTGTACACTTCACTACTTATGTCGAAGTTTCTTCTATACATTTCCATTTAAAGGTTGTTTGGAAGATATCGCCTTGAAGTGTGATAAGACCGCCCATTGTAATCACAACATTATTTTATTGTATCCAACATAAATATTTCTACTATGTGTGAATGAAGAATGTATCGGGAAGAAACCTGGACTTCTAATTTCTAATTATAAGTTTGAAATCGCTTTAGAGGTATGGGGAACAGGGTGGAACGTTCCTCATCCTCCATTGAAAAGGGAGGATCCTCCGACCAGGCGAGGTGTTCGTGACGTGTGGGAAACTCTTATAGCGCGATGTAGGCACTTGCACGTGATTGGTGCTGTTGTTAATGTAGTGCGCTAGATGTCGCTACATCGCCAATCCGTCTTGACCAAGCATGGCAATTCATGCTCAAACCTTTTCCGTGTGAGAAAAGGCCTTTGTTCAGCAGTGGGCACTTACCTATAGGCTGATGATGAGATTTGGAAAAGAATATAATAAATAAATAAATAAAATAAAACATTAATTACCGTTAAAATTCGGAGGAACGCTGTTTGTACCAGTAAAAGGTTTCGTTCGTCTTAGTTTGTTGATGAACCTTTCCTTATGATATTGCACAAGTCGGTCTAGCCAGCCCATCTTTGGCACTGATTGGTGAAGACCCAAAGCCATCACAGCAACCACAACGACCAGAATAGTCGTACATGATCTCTAGGGAGTAAACATAGAAAAAATCATCAGCATCGGAGTAATTTCAACATTCATAGCTACACAATAGGGTCTAAGCTTGAATGGCAGCTTAACGCTTTTCTGTTAAAAACTACTTAGATGCTATTAAATTAAAAGTATATTTTTTTATTTGAGGCGATTCAAATGGAAGGCAATAAATATTTATACATATATAGGTATATTAATATCTACGTTTGTAAAGTATTTTTATGCTGCATATTACATTAAAATACGGTTTTATTACATATATCTGTATATGTTTTTTTTATTTTTGTTCATTGACTTGTCGCACCTTCCGTGACCTGTCCCTGTCAACCCATCACCCTAAAGTGGACTGGACAAACCTTGGTCATCAAGTCTATCCATCATCGTACATATCGAGGGCATAAAAAATTCAAAGATATAAAAAAAATCCTATGATTTAGGACTCCGGCCAAACTCGAAACGAGTAGAGCGTAGTACCTATCTATTGTACTTAGTATATTTTCCGTTTCGACAATAATCATCAGGATAGTGAGATATTTATTAAGTTGATAATTATACTATCGATACATAATAAATTCTGCAATGCATAGCAATGACATATGTATAAGAAATTCTAATTGTTTAGTTCCTTATGCAATAATATGCTAACAAAAACAGAAATAAAAAACAATTCGTTAAAAAGAAAAAAAACATAATACATCATTATTGAAATAGTTTGGTACAATTCAACGGGTTTTAATTTACAAATTTATACTAATATTATAAAGAGGTAAAATTTGTAAGTTTGTATGTAGGGGGTAATCTTTGCAACCACTGGTCGGATTGCCACAATTGGGTAGTTTCCTAGGTCAAAAATAAATTAATTCGACGTTTTAATACGATAAAATATTGAAAAATAACTATACTTTTATTCATCGATCGATCGGTACACTAAGTTTTAGATTTTTTTTAGCTAATTTTTTAAAAATAATTATGCTATTTGACGCAAAAATAATTCAATGTTTCATACAATTTTCATAGAAAAGTATCGTTTTTGACATTTGGATAAAAGTATTGAATTTGACTAGTTGGAAACAACCGTATTCTTTAACTGATAGATAGCTACAATGTTCCTGAGAGCTATAGACTATAAAACATCACGCTACGATTAAGCCGAGCCGAGCAGCAGGTGAAACCGCGCGGGAGTAGCTAGTAGCAAATATACTTATAGAGAAAAATAAAAGACAAATATCACGAATAAGTTATGGAATTGGAAAAAAATGTTACTATAGGTCTGGTCTTTTGCAAGTTACAGAAAACATCTGTAAATAACAATAAACTGCTAAGGGTTGATTTTTCAATGGGCCGATAAAAGTTACCTGGGGAATAATTATGATGCTGTCGCGTCAGAATGTTTGTATAAGACAGTGACAAACAACAATTTTATTCCTCAGATAACATTTTTATCTGACTATTGAAAAATCAGCCCTAAATATAATAAAAACTTACACAATGGAACATGTTCTAAGTTCGAATTGTAGACTGCATGTACTTACATAATCTCCCTAAAAACGTTATAAAATAAATAGCCATTAAAATACTAATTAGATTTTACTGCTTTTTTAAATGAACAAAAGATAACATAGGCGTTAAATATTAAACCTCTATGCAATTAATTATAGGTAATTATGTTTAAGTACCTAAACTCATTTGCTACACGTTTTCGTATCCAAATAAATCTCTCGACGTTTCCTTTGCCCTGTATTAGGCGGCTCCTAGAATATTATTTAAATCAACTTTAAACTAATTTCCAGTCCCGGAGAAGGTACGGGGTGTTTTTTCGCCAGTAAAAGCCTGGCACTCCCTCTCACCCCACCCAGGTGAAAGGTAGCTAGATAATATAACGCTATACCGGTATACTAAATGATTACCGGCGTGTACTAGCGTTGCGTCGTGTTTCGATTATCCAAAACCTCCCTGGCTCCTCATAACCAAGCCCCAAAACTGCTAAGGTTTAAATTCCCCTAAAACGTCGGCAACACGGTTTTTCGGTCCATGAGCAGCGCTGATTGCCCACCACAAGGTGATTAGTCAGCTATTTTGCCGGCCTACCATAAAAAACCTTGGGGTGCATGCCAGAAGACCTCCCCGTGGTGCACCCTGGGTGCGGGCGACAGTCTCCCTAACGGGATGGCGACAGGGTTGGACTGACTGTCGCCCGCAGCGAACTTCTGGCCGGGCGGAGAACCCGGTCAGGTTCTAGAGGCGATCGGCTCTATGCTGCCATAGAGTCCACGCCTCCGTGGGGGCGTTCCTCCGCACGACTCTCTGAACCTAGCAGAGAGCGGGGCGGAGAAACAAGGGCGGCGCTCGTTGTGCACTCACCCTGCCAATGAGTAGCATCGGGGCACTAGCTGCGCCCGACTGCACCCGTCGATATCGTAATCCGGGAAGAGATCATGGTCATGTTTTATGACTCGGACCGGGACGAGGGTCTTGGCTTAACCGCCCGGACCGCGAGGAAGATAACCTCTATAAAAAATTCCTCCAATACTAAGTTCTGGTGCGCGGCGAGGGTATGTATGGCTGAGGAGTAGGATCAGTCGTGAGCACACCCCCAGCTAGGGGACCGGTGGACCTCCTAGTTGGGAGACAAATTTACACTTACCCAGGGACAGGGGGCTCTCCCTGGGCGGACCTCTTATTTCCCCCATACTCGTGGGACTTCAATGGAGATGCCTATAAAGAAAAATAAAAATAAAAATCCACCTAACGGTGAGGAGGACGCAAGCGAGGTCAGCTCGCTTGCGAATATAACCGAGGCGCTAGATGCATCGTGTGCACGTGCCTCTAGCAGGAAGGAGTCGGACTCAGAGTCCGACTCATCATTGTCTGGCGTCAGCATCGCGCTGCGCCACAAGAAAGACCGGGGCGTTTTTAAACGTCCCAGGTTGGAGCCGTCTTCCAACGAGCAGGAGGCCCCAGCCCCCAAAATCCCCACGGCTGCGCGGGGTAGGGGCAAGGGGAAGGGCTCCACAAGGGCGGCTGGGAGCCGATCCGAGCCGGCAGAGCGGCTGGCAGCGGAGGGGAGCGCCCTGGGAAAGGCTGCCCCCTCGGACTCCTCGGAGATGGAGACCTCCGGTGGTGAGGGTTCTGTAGGCGGCGCTGAGAGCCTCCGCCTACAAGTAAAGGAAGCACTCCGCATGCTGGCTGGGCAAAAAACCCAGGCTGGCAGAAATGGAGTGCTTAAACATGCGGAAGCCGCTATTATGTCGGCGGTATCCCAGCCGGGCTCAGCTGAGCGGCAGATGGCCGCTATGCAAAAAGAGCTGGCTGGAATGCGGCGGGAGCTATCCCGCTTGGTGGCTGCCAATACTGCCCTGGAGGCTGAGCTTCGGGCAGCCAAAACAGAGCTCGCCGCAGCTCGGGGAGTCCGATCCCAACCTGCGCAGCCAGCGGAGGCCGACCTTCTCGGCCTTATGCGGCGGGAGATGGCCGCCTTCCAGCAGCGTTTCGACGTGCTGGAGGGTAGGCTCCTGCGACCTCCACTCGCAGCCGGGTCGTATGCTGCCGCAGCGGCTAAGCCCAAGCCGCCAACCAGCCGTGGGGCACAAGCCAGCGCACCGGTGAAGAAGGGGGCGAAAGCGCCGCCAGCCTTGTCACCGACGAGGGCGTCCGAGTCTCCCTCGGCGCTGGCTCCTGCGCCGATGAGCCGCAGACGAAGAGGAGCAGCGGCTGGAGCCCCAGCCGCATCGGCACCTACTCCGCCGTCTGAGTCGCGTGCTGGTAGCGAGTGGCAGGTGGCGGGGGAGGTGAGGAAGGTCGCCAAAGAGAGGAGGAAGCTCCGGAAGAAGGAGCAGCGGCAGCGGCGACAGCAGCGGCGCAAGGAGAAGCGCGCTGCGGCAATGCTCCTCGCCCCAAAATCTTCGGCTGTAGTTATCACACTACAGCCGGACGCGGCGAAAAAGGGGGTGACGTATGGCGAGGTCCTCGCCAAATTGAAGGGGGCGGTAACTCCCGCGGAGTTTGGGGCACCCGACGGGTTCGCAGTGAGGGTCACTGCCACTGGAGCCCGTCTCTTGGAGGTCCCCGGCGCGGCCAGCGGCCCGTCCGCTGACGCCCTTGCCGAGAGGCTCAGGGCGTGCATTGCGGCGGACGAAGCTCGCGTGTCCAGGCCCACCAAATGCCTGGAGCTACGCATCATGGGCCTGGACGACTCCGTGACGGAGAATGAGGTGGCGGCCGCTGTCGCCAGGACGGGGGGGTGCCCTGCTGACCAGGTCAAGGCAGGCACTATCCGCCCGGACAATACGGGGCTGCGGACTGTGGTAGTCAGCTGCCCCGTCACAGCGGCCAAAAAGCTGGCAGAGGGCAAAAGGCTCCTGGTGGGCTGGGTTTCGGCGCAGGTGAAGCTGCTGGAACCCCGACCTTTGAGGTGCTTCCGCTGCCTCATTGGCCATCATGTGGGTGCCAAATGCACCTCAGAGGTGGACTGCAGCGACCGCTGCTTCCGCTGCGGTCAGCCCGGTCACAGGGCCGGCGCTTGTTAAGTCCGAGGCCATGTGCTTCTATGGCCGTCGGAGCGCGCCACCTCCAGGTGGGTCCCAAGTAACGGCAGGAGGAGTTACCATCGGCGTCGAGTCGGCGATGAAGTACCTGGGTCTCGTCCTCGACAGCCGATGGAACTTCACGGAGCATTTTCGTCGTTTGGCCCCTAAGTTGGAACGGTCTGGGGCCGCGCTCAAGCGGCTCCTTCCCAACCTCGGGGGGCCAAACGCCTCCTGCCGGAGGTTGTATATGGGGATTGTGCGATCCATGGCCCTCTACGGTGCCCCTGTGTGGGCGCCGGACTTGAAGCGGCGGCCGGCTCGTACGCTGGTCGCGTCCCAGAGGGTCATGGCTATACGAGTAATCCGCGGGTATCGCACGATCTCCGGGGAGGCGGCGAACCTCCTTGCCGGATCACCGCCGTGGGATCTAGAAGCGAAGGCGCTCGCGCGCGTCTACAGTTTGCGCGCAGACGCGCGTCGCCGGGGCGAAGATCCTCTGCCGCGCCAAATAAGTGCGTGGCGGAATGAGCTCCGGCGAGATCTCATGGCAGAGTGGAGACAACGACTGTCGCAACCGAGGGCCGGGCACGCTACCATAGCAGCGGTAAGACCCCTCTTTGAGGAGTGGCTTGAGAGACGCCACGGCGTCCTCACCTTCCGTCTGACGCAGGTGCTTACCGGGCACGGCAGCTTCGGTAGGTTCCTGTTTCGGATTCAGCGGGAGGAAACGCCCGAGTGTCGTCATTGTGAGGACCACCTAGAGGATACGGTGGAGCATACGGTAGCGGTATGCCCTGCCTGGGCTGAGCACCGCCGTATCCTCAGGGAAGTGATCGGCGGCGGCGACCTCTCGCGCCCGGCCTTAGTCGAGGTCATGGTGCGGAGTGAGAGGAACTGGGACGCCGTCTCCTCCTTTTGTGAAGCAGTCATGCTCGCAAAGAGAGAGGCGGCCCGCGTGAGGGAGCAATCCTCCTCCTCACGCCCCAGCAGCCGCAACTGGCGACACTACGGGCGTCGGGGATCGAGGGACGATCTCCGGCCACCGTAAGTACGGGCCTGCGGTCGGCGAGTAAGGGCAGCTCGCCGCCCGACCAGAACCAGGCCCGAGCGTACGGCGCGTAGCGTTCCGCGCGCGCCTCAAAGAGCCAATAGACCACCACAGACGGGGCCCTAAAGGGCTGATGTTCAGCCGGGGTTGCGGGGTAAGCGCAATAAGGTACCGCGACCTCGGCACAGAGCAGGAGAAGGAACAGGGGGGTTTTTAGTCAGTAAGAGTCTGACACTCCCTCCTGCCCGGCCCTGGGCGGGAGAAGTCATTTGATGATTTTCCCCTCACAAAAAAAAAAAAAATAAAAACCATAAAAAACCTTATGTTAAAATAGGAAAGTATAATATCAAAAATTTCAACTTGAAATGAAAATAAACATGTCCAATAGAGAGAGGTACCTAACGGTGCATCTGACAGAAACCTTGATGACGTCAACGCAACCACGTGACGGGTTTTCACGTGAATTTCCATGACGTCGTTTGTCTGGACCTATTATACACATATAAGATAGATTGCGGGATAGGATTTTGATTCATATTTTCTGTAGATTTAAATGTCAAAATTCTATAACCAAGGTGTTATAAGTACCTATAGTATAAGTGCATTATGTACAAATTCAGGCACATTAAAAAAGAGCTAATTAAAAACTATACAAACTTCAAATCAAAGTAGAGTGAAGAATACGTCTAATCGAATAGTAAGAATTAGGTACTTAGGTTTAATTTTTCAGAAACCTTTTTAGTTTACAATAAACTTCGGAGTTAGCTAGCTATTAAGAAACACGGAAAGTCAAGAATTGCATGGTTGACGCGATGGCTGGGCAACTGGCTGCTGCGCAACGTGCCGCAGGTTCGATTCCCGCACGAAACAACTCTTTGTGTGATCCACAAATTGGTGTTCCAGGTCTTGGTGTTATGTGTATGTGACATGACATGGCGTATGTTTGTAAACGCACCCACGATACAGGAGAAAATCCGAGAGTGGGGCAAAGTTTTTTTTTAAGTGACAGGACATGTAAACTCTTTTCAGAAGTTGTATTTTTGAGCGACAAGGTACCGCGGCCTCGGCCTAAAGCAGGAGAAGGAACGGAAGGGTCTTCAGTAAGTACCTTAGACCCTGACCCTCCCTCTCTCTTCACCTAGTTTGGGAGAAATGATACCATGATATTCCCATCTAACAAAATGTATTACATCTGCCTACTCGCTAGCGGAATAAAAGCTTGGTGTTACGCCATTTTTAATTTTAATATCTATTTATAGCAAAAAGTCCGTTAAACGTATAACTACCTATTTTTAAAAGTCATTCAACGTTGGGCGAGTTGTCGCGTGCCACAAATACTTTTACTATACACACCTGTCTTAACCGTCAACACAGAAAAAACAAGAGCCACGCATTAATATTCGATTTTTAATACTTTTGAATTCATTTTTTTTATGTAGCAGTTCGGTAAACAAGCAGACGGATGACTTGATGGTAAGCAATTATCGCCGATTATGGACACCCGCAACAACGGAGGAGTTACGAGTGCGTTGCCGACCTTATGAGGATTAGGAAGTTGGAAATTCAGGGATTAAGGGAGGGGAAGGATTTGACCTGCGGTAACCTCACTCACAAGGCGAAACACAACGTTGTGGTGGTTTCACGCCGGCTTTCTGTGAGGCCGTGGTATCACTCCGGTCGAGCCGACCCATTCGTACCGAAGCTTGGCTCTCCCACACTTAAATATATATAGATGATTATGTACTTACTTTAAACTGATCTCAATCCAAAATCTGTAACAAAATTGCAATGCATATGCAATGTATGAAGTTTCTATCAGAAATTGAAATTGATCAGAGATTTGATATCAGACTAATATCGTTCGCACCTTAATGTTTTAATAATAATTAAAAACTTCAAACAATGACTTGTCTCGCAGACGGAGTGTCAGACTCCTACTGACTAAAAACCCCCCGTTCCTTCTCCTGCTTTAGGTTTTTAGTGGGCGGAAAATCGTCAAATGACGTCTTCCCTCTCTTTTTGTTAAGAATTCTGGGTGCATACGTACGATCTTACAAGTATCAAATATATCTATAGAGGCAAGGTAGTGATAAGATTTTAAGTTCCTGAAAGTGAGGTTCAATATCTATTACTTTGCTAAGATTATAAATTTGTAAGTTTGTATGTAGGGGATAATCTTTGGAACCGCTGGTCGGATTACCAAACTCCTTTCACCGATAGATAGCTTCAATATTCCTGAGGCTATAAAACATCACGCTACGATCAAATGGAGCCGATCAGCGGATGAAAACGCCCGAGAATTGCTAGTTTATTAATATTCTAATTAGTTTTTTTGTTGAGTAAATAGCGTGGGTGCCTCGGTACTGTTGCCCCATTGGATGACACCATATTTTGACCATGTGTAAGTGTATACGTAATATGTTGTTAATGCAGTTTTTAAGGTCAGTTGTTTATTGATTTCGCAGGAGGCTGAAGAAAATTTTGATAATTTTGCTCTTAATATCTTTTCGGCCGAAGATCATCTCTCGCTTCTGCTTTAGGTAGAGGCGAAACCTTATCGCGCTTACCCCGCAACCCCGGCTGAACATCGGCCCTGCAGGGCCACGTCTGTGGTGGTCTGTTGGCTACACTTGATGTACAGACCTACCTACAGCATAAGGCCTCTAATTCCAGGAAACCTATTCGTAACATAAAACTGCCATAAACTTTAAAACTGAGCTAACTGCGCCCTCTGTCTAATAAGTACGCTTTCGAAACAATAGTGCAATATTAGCAGAGTGGTTCTCCGACCGGCTGCTGCGCGACGTGGCGCAGATTCGATTCCCGCTGAGCTTAATCCTTTGTGATTTTTGTTGACCCCCTAACTGTTGGGTCTGATAGCGATGTGTAGTGTAGCTATGTAAAATTATGGATTTTTAAACGTTTCTCTAGGCTATAAAAAAGAAAAAAAAACATGGTTTCGCTACGGTTTAAAAGACAAATAGTTAAAAGGTCAATAATTTTATTCTTGTCTTTTAAAATCTTCTTTAATTACAAACGATTAATCGATTTGAACGGAGGTCATAGCCCTTATCCGTGAAGCTATTCTCAAGGTGGAACGCTTACAAAATATTCAACCGTTTATAATCTGTTTTACTTATAAGCAATGTAATGAATCTACTATTATTGTCACATAACTAAGAATTGCTAAGTTATTTATGCACAGAATGCCTTTTAACAATAGGTAAATAGATAAAATAATTATAATATCATACATATAATTCATACTTCACATAGATTTAAGTTTTATTTATTAACGAGTTTTGTGTTATATAACGTATGTATATATGTTCGTTTTTGAAGTATATTTTTGGGCCATTGTCGCCTGAACATAATAATAGGTCTTTACCTATGAAATTGCCGTTCTGCAGTACTGGCCATTTCAAATCAAAATAGTTTTTGTTAGGCTAAGGCTAATTAATTTTGTTTTAAAAACATGGGATTCCTTTTCCAAAAGTAGTCATTTGTTTATTGATTAGTGTTACATTTTCATCGCATTTCAAATCAAAAAAATCGTTTACATTTTTTCATGCAAAATGGCAATTTCATAGGTAACCTACCTATTACTAAAAACCTATTATTAAAAATAATGCGTAGTACGCATCTACAGCCTTTAAGTATTCTACAATATATGTAATGACACCATAGCTGACATGAAATCACCTTAAAAGTTCACATTCACATCTTGTCCAAGACCGATAACAATCGACGGTCGAACTGTAGTACATATAGTACACGGCTAAATTAAAGTCACATCTCTATGTTAATACTCGTTCATCCCAGACATACTCTCAGATTTTGTCGCCGTGTAACTGTCTGTCGAGCCTCCACAGCCTCCAAAGTGAATGCAAAATAACGATCACTACCGAAATCACCCGAACCACTTCGGGCCCCGGAGGTTATAAATAGACCCCGCGTGGAAAATGACTCTTCAGTATTATTGTGCGCGCAGTAGGGGAACACGTTTTCCGCACGGCTGGCGCGCCCGCCAACCATAACATTGCACATTGTTATGTGAATACCGTAGCTATTGCAATCAAAACAGCAAGATGCCAGCGGATATAATGTCAAATACATGTCGGAGTGATAATTTCGGAAAAACTTTTGTAAAAAAATCTACCGAAAGTGAAGTAAAGTCTGGTTTTTTGGTGCTTTTGGGACCCGGCGGGATGCGACAGGATGTGAGAGTCGTCGTGTACAGAACCTCGCTGGAGCATTTCGCCGTGATCTACCCTAGGAAGCGGGTAACGAAGCCGATCGGCGTGGTGAATTTAAGGAACACGGCTGTGGAACAGGCCGAGTCAAACAGCGGCTTCATTGTCCGACAGAAAGGCTATGACAACACAATCTCCGCGAAGTTTGTGTGCTCCGAGCGCGAGGTGGAGGCTTGGATGTCCGCGTTCACGTCGCGAGCCTCGCCGCACTGCGTGCACGCCAGTCTCCCGGTCCTGGTGGAGACAGAGGAGAGCTAAGCAAATACAAGATTATCCAGCCACTATGGTCTGAGTGATCTTCCTAATTTTGACGCGTCACGTCAAAACGAGGTTATGTTTGTTTTGCAATGGGATGCGAAAGTGAAAGTTGCGTTTTTTGCAAACGCTCGAAAGTGTCTTGGCTGTGAAGCTTAATAAAACAAGTGCTACGTACAGTGTCAGATGTGAGTCATCTAGTGCATCTAGGTTACCTCCACCACGCTATTGTCTGGCTCTTAGAAGCCGCGTTATTTTGTTTTGCAAATGAAAAACGCGATTGTATTCAACTGTTACGCTGGATAAGGAATGAATATTTTGCGAGGTCGTTCACCTTGCTGGTTGCTCGTTTGTTTAGTTCCGATATACGACTTCATTTGTTGCAAGGAACTTTTTTTTAATTACTAATTCCATTTTCAAATCAACCTTTGTAGTTTTTGCATACATTCAGCTACAATGGTCACTAATGGCCAGCCACATTCACCTTTCTTCATAAAAATTGTCCTTATAGATAGGTTTCTAACAAAATAAAAAAAAATTGTTGAAACATGATTACCGGGAATCGAGGCCTAGTATTTATTAAGCAGCTGCGCTTGCGAACACGCGACCATAGAGTTAATTGCTACAATCATTTTTAATTCTTTAGAAAGCTTTGAAACAGTATTTTTGAAAAGAAAGTTGGTCGATTCTCATAGTTAAGCATCCCATAGTACTTATTTTTATACTAGGTACCTATTTACTTAATAGTGCAAAAAGTGTTTATTTTCTTTTATTTCATTCGATCCCGTCCGTCATCCAGTTTTTTTAAATATAATATGCCAATAACCATGTCATATAAACTCCAGTCCATTTATATTCTTATTTGTGTCTAGAAAAAACATAAAAAATAGTTCTTTTCATTCGTTTCCTTTAGAATGGACTGTTTGAAATATGTCATTATCCAGTAGGTACTGAACTAATTAGGGGCCTCACTATCACAACGTCTTTGTTAGTCAGTGTGCACCACAAAAAAATAAATATTATTTTAATTAATTATCTTTCACCTGAGTTTAAAGGATAGCTACACACGGTCTAAATCGTTATTAAAAAATAACAATAAATAATTCCATATAATATTTTCATTATTCTTTCTTAATTTGGTCCTTTCATTAGTAGCTTTCTGATATCGTTTTCTACTTAATTATTTAATACTATTTTTTGTGTACACTGTAAAATATATTTTTTATTTTGATATAGCGACCATGTAATTATAGATTATTTTAATTTTAAATTTGTTATTATTAATATATTTTGAGAGGTTTTATGGCGTTGAATTCTGCGTCAAACACTGTTACTGTAATCTAATGCGAAAGTAATTAGACTTGAAAACATTACCCATAAATACTATTTAAATGCCTACGTACCTAATAAAATATAAAGTCATGTTAGGAATCACAAATATGCATCCAATACAATACAATACTTGTGAATGCTCGCACATTTATTCTGGTATTTTTATTTATGTAGAGATAATAGCGAAGATTTTTTTAAATCAAATATCGTAATAATTGCTACGTACTTATGACTAATAGCTGAAATTATTAAATTACTAAATAATGAAATGATACGAAAACTCTAGATCAAAATGAAGTTGTTGACAAAAGAAATCTATCTACATAATATAGTAGGTACGAACTAATTTCAAAAATCGAACGCGGTCCAAAGATTTCTTAGCAATCCGTCTCCCTCTCTCCTACAAGGTACCTTTGCTGTGCCCGACAGAGTCCACAGTGATTCTGCTATATTTTTATTTATAAGACCTAATGTACACTATGGAACGCAATAAAGTATTGAGTATTGTTATGAGAAATATTTTTAGGTATTATTTTTAGCGCACCATTGTTGTCGTGTATCGGAAATAAACAGCAAAACAAGAAATTATATAAAACGAGCTTATGTATGTGTGTGTGACCATAACCAATATAGACATGTAAAGAGGTTGTTGAACTGATTTCGTTATAAAAACTTATAAATACTAGATTTATACTTATACATATACAAAACAAATGTAAAAGTAGGTGAATTTGAAATTGTAAAACTTGAAAATTTGGTCTTAGAAGTACTTGAATAAGTATTATAAAAAGTGCCACAGAGCCACTATTGTGCCTTTATTGGCTATTGGCTAAACGAATACTTATACTTACATTCTTATTATTATTATCCTAATGATTTATTTCAAATTAAAATCATTCATACCATACCAACAAAACATTACTTTTTTTACCTCCGAGATAGAGCAAATAAGCTTAAAATCAACAACTAACATAGACAATCTTCTCTATCTCTTGATATTTTTATTTTATTTTATTTCTGGCGAAAAGCTTGATGTTTTTCGCCAGAAATAAAATAAAATTACTAGGTACTTATACAAATTTAAAGATGTTGGATTGTGTTCGGAAAATTATTACCTAAGCTCGACTGAAAATTGTCATTCAACGCTTAAAAACTTTTGTATCTTTTTTGTCCATATTATTTAATTCTTTAGTTCACCGTGGTTGGCTGTAGACGAAAACCCAAATGTAGGTATGTTCTGTCGGCTATGCTGAACATTGGCGAAATAGCCTATTTTTCGTTTGTTGTCTATGGACTATGTGCGCCACGGTGGCGACGCGTAGAGTTTATAACATTTGCGTAAGCTGACTAATAAAAACAATGTACCTAAACATTATAATTTTCTTTGCAAATATAAATAAAAATAAGATTAAAATAGTATTGTTGACATTATTTAAGTGCAATTTATTCAATAGTTTTACTGTAAAATTAATATAATAATGAAAGCCGACGACAGCTGATCATCCGCATTTGTTTCCAATTTCTGCCGTGTTGTTCGCTGCGGTCGTTATTTGTCCGCCATCGCCACTACTCGCTTTGCACATAGCCAATAGCAGACCATGGCTGTAAAAAGGTTAAATAATATAGCTTAACCTACGAATACATATACATATATACTTATCATACCAATCATCTGCCTAGACGAGGAACTTTAGTTGCACTACAAGGTACTTCATTTTTTTAATCAATTCCCTACGTACCTACTTTTTTGTACCTAGATTTCGGTTTTTCTATTTCGTAGTCTAAGAAAAAGTTACTCAAATATTCAACAACAACCTGCAACAAAATCAGATCTCTATATACCTAATATTTGGTAGATAAGTCACGCCAAATTTAACATTTATTTTTTAACATTTATGACTGAAAAGAAAAATCTTGTTGGTTTTTCAGTAATTACTTAAGTATATCTTTCGAAAAGATAGGGGAAAACTTAACAAGTAGTTTATTGTGATATTTATCTTTGTAGTATTTACATAATACTTATACAAGCTTAAAAACGAAAGTCTTATAGGTAAGTTCGAGTTCTGTAACATTTTGTTAAGAGAGCGTTTTTTACGCGTTTCCGCGCATTAAGTCCAAAATAATAGAAACTACTAAACCGATTTTGATGAAAATCAGTACTTATACGCAATAATGCCAAGGTCGAAAATCTTAATAAAGATCTCATTTTTGACTACACGTTTAGCATAGTGGCTGGGCAACCGGCTGCTGTTCAACGTATCGCGGGTCCAATTCCCGCCCGGCACAACACTTTGTGTGATGTACAAATTGTTGTTTTGTGAATGTGCATTTATATGTTTATATACCCACGACACAGGAGAAAATCATAGAGTATGGCAACGCCTTTTCAAAAAACGAAGTTCAAACATATTGTATTGTTTATTTGAGCAGTTTCTACGATGGGATTTTTAGTTTAAGTGGAAATTGAAAATAATCTCTCTCTGATTTTCTTAAGTATTTTTCGAAAATCTACTTAACTTGTTATAAGCACTACCTAAGTTTTATTAAAATCGGTTAAGTAATTCCCCAGATTTTGGACTTTAAAGATTGTATATACGCGTATATGCTCTTGGATTTGTAACAAATGTTCGTTAACTGGCTTTCGTTTTTAAGCTATGCCCTTGTAGAATATGTATAGGTAGTTGATATTGAAAACATTTTGATGGACAAATGGTATGTTTGTAAGTATGGAACAGTTGTCTCAATTATAAGGAAAACGTTAATTAATATAATATTCGAAATTGTGATTACAATCATTGTATTCAATTAATATAAAAAAAAATAAAATGTATCGGAATTCATATTTTTTTTGTTCTTATTCTATCCTAAACTTGTTGAACCTTTGTTCTGGATTGACTAACAAATGAAAACCTAGGTAGAGATAGAAAAAAAAAACTATTAAAAAAAACAAAATACATAATGGGTTTCTAAATAAATACTTACTTACAGGCTAAACCCACATTTTGACTGCACAGTGGTTGGGCAACTGGCTACTGTGCAACGGGTTCGATTCCCACACGCAACAACACTTTGCGTTCGGGTCTGAGTGGCTTGGGTATATGGATGTGAATATTTGTAAACGCTCTTACGGCTCAGGAAAAATACTAAAGTGGGGCAACGTTATTTCTAAAGAAAAAAAAATGATTTAAATAATTGGGTCACTTTATTTCGAAAAACCCTGTAGGTTATAAGTTGTTTCAACACCTGACATCAAAGCCAATTCAAACTAAACTCATCCTAGCCGGGTTATAATTTACCACGGCCTCGGCCTCGGCCTAGAGCAGGAGAAAGAACTGGGCATTTTTGGTCGATAAGATTCTGACAGTCCCTCCCGCCTCTCCCTGGAAGAGAGTAGTCATCCGACAATATAGCCCCATTAAAAGAAGATCCATCCAAACAGGAATCAGTATTTCCTTATATAAATAGCCTGTGATTATTCTCTGCTAGAATGTGAGCCACCCTAACTTAAAGACCTACTACAATCTCCTCGTACAGCAGACTGGTTGAATATCTTAGTTTTAAAAGTCTAACGGCCATATTACAATACTGGATTTTCTTTAGTCTAGTTCTAACCTAAGTACGGTAGGTATGTGTCAATTTTCATCAAAATCCACATTCATTACTTAGAAACTTCCATTTATATAAGATTAGCTACTCTCTTGCGGTTTCAACCGCTGCTCGATTCCATTTAATCCTAGCGTAATGTTTTATTGCATATAGCACTCAGGAACATTGTAGCTATCCTAGCTATCTATCAGTGAAAGAATTTTGGAAATCCGACCAGCGGTTACAAAGATTACCCCCTACATATAAACTTACAAACTTAGAAATATCTCTTTACAATATTAGTATAGACTATACCGTCTGCAAATAGGGGTCCAATCGGAGCTAAAACCATTTTTACCTTGTACCTAATTACCAATCATACCTACTTCTTGTAAAAACCAAGGCACAACCGTCGAACGGATA